GTGTTAAAATTTAAGGATTTTGGAACATTAATGTCTGATATCGCTGCTATTGTTAGTTCTTGTCCTTTAACATATGTATTTGACGAATGAACATCTGTTATAATAAGTCCAATGGACTTTTTGCAAGGTGGTGCACCTACAGGCATTGTACTAGTAGGCATATTTAAAGACCCAGATTACGTCATCCCACGAGGGCGGAAAGAATTATACAACTTGTAGAAAGCCAACATGACCTTTACAGACATATACTTGGAGTATTTTAGGGATGAATATCTACTCTGCCTGAGGGAAAAACAGACAATGTTGCATCAAAGTTCAAATAGCCTTAAGCAACAAGTACCAAAGATAGGCGATATAGTACTGGTCAAGGAGACAGATCTTAGAAGGGAAGAGTGGAAGTTGGATAGAGTTGAAGCTATAGGGGTTAGAGACAGTGGTCATGTAAAGGAAGTTACAGTCATTTTACCAAACCGAAAACGTTTAGAGCGATCGGATGGCCTTCTGTATTCAATCAGGTGTGCGCGTTTATCGTCGTTAATTGACTCTGAATTTTAAATCTCAATTTCTTGAATTTGAAGCTTTCATTCTAATTTAAGTTCAAAGTGAATTTAAATTTTTTGTTTTTATAGTAGACTACGTAATCAGCGATCTTTCTAATTTTTCAGCTGTTTTTTATAATTTTCACTTGTAATTTTAAATTTAAGAGGGCTAAGTTGCCAGTGATCTTTTTTTTATAATGTCCATCAGAAGCGTCCCAAACATTACGGTTTCGTGGGGAGAAGTAATTGAATTTGAACAGGAGGTGATATATTTTGTAGCTCGATGCCGACGGGGCTATATCACTATAGTACTAGATGTTGACGACAGAAGGAATACGAAGATGATTGAGACGGTACCTGTAATAATGCAGTTTAAAACTCAGAGTCTACTTAATCCATTTGACAAGGTTGCGGTACATTCATATCAGTTACTTCGATTAGGTAATACCGTCAGGGAAGTACCAATTTTTGGAAAACTTATGATCTGTTCGTTCATGCATCAAGCAGCATTGCGACTATCTGCACAGGTTTTTAAATTT